CCCCGGCCGGAGGCCCGCGCGGAGTCCCCCCGGGGTGGGGAGGGGGGGGCGCCTCCCGCCCCGGCCACGGCCTCCTCGCACCTCGGCCCCAGGGGACCCCCCCGCCAGCCCTCCGGCCCTTCTCACCCCCAGCACGCTCTGCAGAGGCGACAAACCTCCCAGACCCAGCGAGGGCCACCCTTGGGGTAGCCAACCCTCCCGCACTGCCCTGGAGTCTCCTGGCATTAGAGAGAAACCTCCAGGAGATTGCTGAGAGTCACTCGGGAGATACATGATAGTGCATTCATTACAAGAAATATTAAAGGTTGAATCCCATGCATGCAGTAGGCCAGCGGGTTTTTTAAATGTAATGGTAATGTGCATTTGCCTTCCTGACGTAAAGTCTACGCACCGTCATCCGTAAGTGATATATGCAAGCATGTGGGCAGATCGGCGCTGTGTCGCAGGCGCGTTGGCGTTCCGGAAAGCTCCCAGAATAGATTCAGAGTTGGCAACCCTAGCCAATATGTTGGTGACCCTGGAGGGAAGACGCTTTGGGAGACATGTGGGAGAAGCCCTTCAGGACAGCTCCCCCCCACTCCCCCCTTTGTTTGTTGTGAGGATCCCTGCGCAGAAGAGGCAGCCTGGATTTTAAGGGATCATGAGGTGGGACTTCCCCTCTGCCCTTTGGTTCAGGCTCTGGTACCCCATCAGCCTCCAAGCTGCAAACAAGCCGGTTACCCCTCTTGCATCTGCCTGAGCCTGCCCTCCAGAGCAGTCATTCTCAAACTTTTTTGTACCAGGACCCACTTGTAAACATCAATGGCCAGTCTTGACGCAGTGCCCTCCACCCCCAGGTCCCAGCCCCACAGTGGGAGGGGGAGGGCATGGGCACCCCCAAGCAGCCCCTTGAAGGCTGGAGCTCTGCCAGCCTGCAAGGGAAAAGTTGTGGTTCCCACATTTTTCTCCTTTAAAGGAGGATCCACTTTTAAAGTTTGTTCACAACCCTTTCATATGTTCTTACAACCCACTTTTGGGTAGCAACCCACAGGTTGAGAAATGCTGCTCCAGAGGATGTTTCCCGATATAGATGTCACTTGGCCTCTTTGTTTCGAGGGAAGCTGTCTCTGGCGCTGATCTAAATCTAAATGGCACGTTGGTCCATCCAGATACCCTCTTAATATGTGGACAGACTATTCAGCTGGAAAGACTAGAAGTGATGAGATGAACAAGGCAGTTTCATTTGGAGAGGACCAGGTTGGGAAGAGAGTTTCTCCTTTCCCCACAAAGCTGGGAAGGAAGTGGCCTGCTCAGGAGAAGGCTCTCACACGTACCCTAATGTGGATTGAGGCCAGGAGCCGGAGGGAAGAATTTCCCTGCTTCAGTTTAGTGTTGGGGAACTTGAACTCCAAACCAGAAAGAAAGGGAGTGATGATGTTTTCAGGTCCTGTGCACCCACAGCCAGTCCCTATCAAATCTGATGCAGAGAGAAATTTCCCCACCCTCCTTGGCCATCATAATTCAAGACAACCTTGATAAGTTTCCCTTATCTTGATCCCCCTGAACCCTCCTCCACTAGTTTTCCCCACTTGCATTCAACCCATCCTGCTTCTTTCCAAACCCCCTGTGGTGCTGGAGACTGATTTCAAAGCACTTGGCTAATGGCTGGTAATGCCCCATCTCTGGGGGAGTGTGTGACTGTAATTTGGCTGTAATTGGCAGCAGAAGCCAAAGCAAGTGTTTATGCTGTGCAGGAAGCTTTGACTGAGCCTCTCACTGGGAAGCTACCGGCAGCCTCTCACTACAGTCTCAGCCCCTCAGAGTGGACAGGAAGAGTCAGTGGCAGTCAGTAGTGGGGGAGTTGGGGAGGGCAACCCCTGAAGGACATAGCACCCTCCCAAGTGAGGAGGTTAGCTCCAGCTAGGACTGTAGCACAAAGCTAGGTTGTTGGATGGAAGGAAATAACTGACAGCTCCAAGATTCAGTGAGCTCATGCTGGACAGCTGAAAGTGAATGCAGTGAGATTTTTCCAGGCCTTCTCTCCCAGTTTGTGCACTTCTCCCTTGTTTAACTATGTTTGTGATGGTTAAAAAAAATGGGCTGGCAATAAGCTGCTGTTCAGGAGGTTTTGAACTTATAGTGTTTGTGCAGCCTTTCTGCTTGCATAGGATAAGCTTCTAGGAGTCCTGCTTCCCAGTCCCCTTACCCCTGCCCTACTGGACCCCACACCTTTTCCAGAACTCAAAGCACAATCCTGGCATCCAATATCCAGTTCCTCCTCCTGTACATGGACCTTTTCTTGTCCATCTGCTTTCCTTCGGAAAAGAACAGGGTTAAAAACAACAGAATTAAAATTGAAACTTATAACAATGCTCAGCACTTATCTAGCTCTTTTTATCTTCAAAGTGATTTACAAAAGTTAACTAATTAATTAATCTTCACATTCTCCCTGACTGTAAGATTCAAAGTCATGGTTGGATTGAGCAAAAAAATAAAAAGCCTGGAGTCTGGATGAAGGGCAGAGGGAAACCTATGATCCTGTCTGTTAATTGAAGTCAGGCAATAACATTTCCAGCAATATTTTCATTCTGCGATGAACATATTTTATTCATTTTTCAGTTTTAAGTGAAACAAGGAGTTTAAGATATTTCTTCTTCCCATTTATTTTGGGAAATATATACTTTTGAAATGTCTTATAATTTGTACCCACCAAAATAAATACAACAGAAGGCATTCTGAAAAAGTTAAAATTTCCCCATAACCTGAAAAACATTTTTTAAAATGTTGCCCTAAACTCCTCTAGGTCACAAAGCAGCCATTCCTGGGGAAAGCACATCAAATCAGAGGCAGACAATCAAGGAAACAAGGGTATCACTGACTCTTGGCAAAGAGCCATTTCATGATAGCTAACCCAGAAAAGAACAGACCTAGCTCAGGGTATTTCTACACAGCAAAATTAAGGTGTGACTGTAGTACAAGAAGGCACACTACCTGTAAGCTAGGTAGCTGGCATAAGAATAATGAAGACTTGTAAACACAAGACATCAGTATGAGACAGCAGAGTACATTTCTAGGGTCCTGATAAGGCTTGTACCCTGGTTGCTGGCTTCTCTGTTGACACCAATGTTGTCATGTCTTTCCTGTTTCTATCACCAACCCTAGCCTGAGTAAAGTAAACACACTTACACCTATCCCTGGTCTGGTCACTCCATTTTGCTGTGCAGATGTAAAGGATATGAATAGTATCATATAGAAAATAATCACAGTCAGTGGTGGAAAGGACCTCAAAAGTCATCTAGTCCAATCTCAGCAAAGATGAAGGATGCGCTATATCTAAACCATCCTAGACAAATTTCCACCAGCCTCTTCTTAAAACACCCAGGGAACGAGATCCCACAGTTTTCCTACACTGTTTGTTACACTTTCCTCCAGTTATTACAGTTAGGAAGTCTTTCCTGAGGTATGCTCTAAGTGTGCTTTGCTGCAATTTAAATCAGAATGGCACACTCTGTATTGAATTGAGGAAGAAGAAGGGCTGAGCTAAACGTATCCTGGACTATGAAGCAAGGATTTTAGTTTAAGGATCCAAGGCATCTAAGACCCTTAAGCCTGAGGCTTGCAACAGGGTTTGACTAAAGAGAGTGAAATCAAGTGGAGCAGAGGGACTGGCAGTTCTCCATAGGTGAACTTTGTAGTAATGCCTTTCACTTCTGTGCCTCACTTCCTTTTTACAGGAGTAGTTGTGCCCACCCTGTGAGGGCTTGTGAAAGGCAAGTCAGATTTGATTATCATGCAGGATAGATGTCCTTCAGCTCTCCTTAGAGGTGCCACAGCTCCTTTACCATTACAGAGACCCATATCAAAAGGCTAGAGTGGGTGTGAAATGGCCTGACTCTCTTTCTTATTGGATCTCAGCAACTTCTTAGCACTTGGGTTCTGTCCTACTGATCCTCTTTATTATAGCTCCGATTTTCCTGTCTTTCTTGGAATCACCTACCAATGGTTTCACCTGGGTTCCTCTTTCAAAGGGCATGAGGTGCCACAGGTATTTGACAGGTGATCAGAGGAAACCTGGTATCATGTCCCTATTAACACCTCAAGACCTTTGTCATCCTTCTACTTGGTCCAGACTTGCTGCTCCTCAGTCTCCTCTTCCCAGAGGGTGTGGGGATTTTATACATAGGAGCATCATCATTTTCCTTTGCAAGAAAACTGACTCTCACCTAGAAAATTCCAACATGCAGAGCCCTGTGACCTTCCAGAGATGAGACAGACCCAAGGTGGGGAGCTTCTGGGGAGAAAGGACTAAAAATAATTGAGATACAAGATGGGAATATATTCAAAGCCATTCAGTACCTTTTCATGGAAAACAGACTTTGTCAGAATGACTAAGATTGTTGATGAGTTTAAGTCAATGTCATTTACTTGAGTTTTTGCAAGGCTTTGTAAACCATGGTGCTGATTAAAATTTACCATAATGCAGAATCAATATGACACATATTAAGTGGATTATATCCTGGCTTACTGAAAGGTCTCAAAACATATTTTTTAATAAGGAATAACCATGGAATGGGGGATAGTTTGGTGAATTCCCACTGGGATTGCATCTTGGTTCAATTTCTAGTTGATATTTCTAACCACATTTGAAAGAAAATAATAAATCATTACTGATCAAGCTTGCAGATGCTTGTAGCAAGCTTAATCGGCATGAATTTTGGGTGATTTGCTCCAAGAGTTCTAGGGGTACCTGGGGGAAAAGGGCTTGCTCTTATTTGTTTATTGTCCTCTACTCAGCCCTTGTGCACACAGCCTTTGTTCAAACTATGGTATTGATCTTCACCAAACTGGGCACATCTACGCGTGAAATTAATACAATGTAATAAACTCCAGCACATATCTCACTGGAGTTTATTGCTCCCAGGCGCCATGTTTGCACGTGCACCCAGGACTGCAGCATGTTGAGCTGGGTCGGAGCAGCCCTAGCTGACAAGAGGTCTGGGGGGGGTCAGCCTGCCAGCCTGGAGTGCTCTGACCCAGCTCATTATGCTGCAGAGGGGGTGGCTTGGGCACAAAGTTACTCCAGTACAGGGCTAGCT